CGGGCGGGCGGGTGCGGGCCGCTGCCCTGGAGCCGCCAGCCTTCAGCGACGACCCGAGTGCAGCGGCGCCCAGCCTCCCCCACGCCCTGTGCTCCTCCTCCGGGTAACTTCTTAGCTTCGAGAAAGTTGCATAATTCCCGAGGTCAGGAGGGACCCCTCCCCCTCCGGCTGGGCTGACTGCGGCGCGTCTGGGCTCCGAGGCGGACACCTAACTGTCTCCTCCGTGCCCCCAGCCTCCTCCTGCTCCGACTTAAAATAAAGGGCCGATCCTGTGTCCTTTCTCCTGCAGAAGATGAATCCGTCCTCGGCGCCCCCTCCGCTCCCGCCGCCCGGGCAGCAAGTGATCCACGTCACGCAGGACTTGGACACGGACCTCGAAGCCCTCTTCAACTCTGTCATGAACCCCAAGCCCAGCTCGTGGCGGAAGAAGATCCTGCCGGAGTCCTTCTTCAAGGAGCCCGACTCGGGATCGCACTCGCGCCAGTCCAGTACCGACTCGTCGGGCGGCCACCCGGGGCCCAGGCTGGCCGGCGGCGCCCAGCACGTCCGCTCGCACTCGTCGCCCGCATCCCTGCAGCTGGGCACCGGCGCGGGCGCGGCGGGCAGCCCGGCGCAGCAGCACGCTCACCTTCGCCAGCAGTCCTACGACGTGACCGACGAGCTGCCGCTGCCCCCGGGCTGGGAGATGACCTTCACGGCCACTGGCCAGAGGTACTTCCTCAAGTAAGTCACCCTGCGGCCGAGGGGTCTCAGCGAAGATGCCGGGCGCGCGCTTTCGTGTGTGTGTGTGTGTGTGTGTGTGTGTGTGTGTGTGTGTGTGTGTGTGCGCGTGTGCGTGAAAGAGAGGAAGAGAGCGAGAGAGAGGGAGAGGGAGAGGGACAGAGAGTTCGTGTTTTCCCCCAAAGATCAGGAAAGCTAGAAGTAAGGAGTGAATTTCGGAGTTGGGCTTGTCTCCTGAGGGATCAGATGCAGGGAAATGTCTGGTGGAGTTTATCCACAGTCCGCGAAGTCCCAGAGAGTCAGAACACAGAAACTCCTAAATTTAAGAACTAAAAGAAGGTGATTTTGCCCGGAATCCAGACCGTAGGCCCTTAGCCCTTTCTCCGCTGCACTACCTACCTTAAGTCAGTCAGCCCGAGCCAGGTCAGACTCCAGGATAGAAGAGAGAAAAGAGAAAAGTTGGGCCATTGGGAAGAAGAGGGTGTTTCGGTGGAGTGGGTGGTCTGCGGGCCCTTAGCTTTTTAGGAAAAGCTGGCTGGAAGGGTGAGTACTGTGGGGTAGACCTTACTGCTCCCACCTGGGTGATGTCGGCCAAGCAGCAGTGATGTAATCAGCCATTGATGAAGTAGTTGTGGGCTGGGCCCGCCAACTGTGTGGAAATTGGGTCAAGATTCTGTTACGTCATTCTTTGGTCACCTAAAATACCATCAAATCAGAAGCCTGCTTTTGTTACTTCTCTTCTCTGTGTTGCAGCTTTTTAAAATTTTTACTTTTTTTATTTTTTGAGACAGGGTTTCTCTATATAGTTTTGGCTGGTCTTGAGCTCATCATGTAGCCCAGGATGGCCTCAAACTTTAAGTGATCCTCCTGCTTCAGCCTTCTGAGTGTTGGGATTTCATTCGTGCACCACCATGCCCAGCAACTTTTGATGTAATGAATTTTACAGTAGATTTGAATTTCTGAATTAGACTCTACAGGAAAAAGTTTCAAACAGAAGAGGAAATTGTTTCAATTGTGGTACCCTAAGATCATTACATTCCTGTGGAGAAACCAAGCTGGAACTTGAAATGTAACCAGTGAGGTCATAGGGTCAGGCTATCAAAGGCCTGAAAGAAGACGCGCCCACTGGACCACTTGGTCTGGGGTTGTCTGCATTTGGCTTGCATTCGCTGCCAACAAGGAAAAGGGCTAAGAAAGAACTTGCCTGAGAGTTCATTTTCAAGCCTGTATTTCTTTGGCCTGGAGTAGCCTTAGTTCAAGAAGTCCAAAATGTGAAGACATTATGTGTTATTTTAAAAGTTTAATCAAGATCTTCTTGGGCACTGGTGTTTGGTACCTTGCTGGGAGAGGACCGAGGATGCCATGCAGGGATGGGTGTAGTTCCTTACAGCCACCTTTGACTCATGCTGGTGACCAGTTCTTGTTTCTTTCCCTTCCCTAAGCTGTTGACATCTTGTGTAGTTGTGTTTTTGTTTCTGGGGTTGGCACACTTCTGAGACACTGCCCTGAGACGGCCTTGGTGGTGGTTTATTCTGAAGTTGGTCTGCTCTGGGTTTTTGAGCCATGGTCATAGTGTAGACCTGTGCTTAGTGCTCTGGTTTCTAAGTGGCTGGTAGGAGTGACAATAACATGACATTTCCTAAATGTGATGATACTGTCCTAAGGAGTAGAATTAATTTCCCTCTCTTCTCTTTCTCATTTTTTCCTTTCTTTTTTTTTAATTGATTTAAGTTTATTGGTACCTTTGAGGCATACATCATGATCACATTCATTGTAGGCCCTTTTTTTTTTTCTTTTGAAGTGCTGGGGACTGAACCAGAACCTTCGCACTGACCTATATCCTAGCCCTGTTTTATTTTGAGGTGGGCTCCGGGCGTGGGGATTGAGCTCAGTGGCACAGCGCAAGGTTGTGAGTTCGATTCCCGGTACTGGGGGAAAAAAAAAAAAAAACAACAAAACTGAAGAAATGGGCTGGATGTCACTAAGTTGCCCTGGCTGGGTTCGAACTTGTGTTCCTCCTGCCCCAACCTCCTGAGTACTGGGATCACAGGCATGTGCCACCGTGCCCAACCTCAGATGATTTTTAAACTGTTTATGAATACACACGTGTATATGGTATATGGTAAATGTAGATATGATAATTGCTGGGCATGATGATGCATGCCTGTAATCCCAGCACTGGAGGCTGAGGCAGGAGGATCACCATGAATTCATGGCCAGCCTGGACTACATAGTAAGACCCTGTCTCAAAAAATATTATTACAAGTATGAAATAAAAGCCAAGCTTACCTGATATCTGTGGAAAGCTAAATGAAAAAGACCACAAAACAAAAATTATTTCTATAAATCTGTTTCAAATGATTAGAGTAAACCAGAACTGTTTGTGACATGATAAAAATTGAAGTTTGCCTCTGGTTTAGAGAAGTTGCTGTGATACTCTGCCCGTCTCCCCTCCACTACTCCCGCCGAATACAACTTCATTTCACTTAGAGAAGTCGAAGAAGATGACAGCTGAAAAGCCTGCAGTAAACTGGCATAATCTGTTCTATCCACGGAAAGTTTTGTCCAAGTGAATAGGAGAATCTAAGAAATGAAGTCATTGTGGTTGACTATTGTCTTTCAGAATAGGCAATCTGCCAGGAGTTCTCTGAAGTTTCTCTTAGTTTTATTTATTTATGTTTTGGTATTGGTAATCAAACTCAGGGCCTTGCACTTGCCAGGCAAGCACTGTGCTGCTGAGCTATATCCCCAGCCCCTAAGTTTCTTTTAGAGCTTTGTTTAAAGTTTGAAAGTAAGTTTGAAGAAAATAAAGTGTATGGGTTTTTATTTGTTTGAGACAGCATTTCACTATAGCCCAGATTGTCCTGCAAGTCTTGGTAATCCTTTCTGCCTCAGACTCCAGAACACTGGGATTATAGCATAAACCCCGATGCCTAGCTGGAACCAATTAAATATATACCACACTTTGTTTTACAGCCTCCAAAAGCAGTGGTTTTTTTTTTTTTTTTTGGTACCAGAAATTGAACTCAGGACCTTGTGCATGCTAGGCAGGCTCTTATGCTGCCGAGCTATATCTCCAACCCTTTTATTTGTCTTTTTGAGCAGTTCTTGCTGGTCTTGAGCTCACTTTGCAGCTCAGGCTGGTCTCGAACTCACAATGATCCTCCTGCCTCAGCCTCCCAAGTGCTGGGATTATAGGCATACGCCACCACACCTGATGAGTATTTTTTGTAAAGGCAGTGTGTTTTAGTGGATTAAGTAGAAGCTTGAGAAATGATGCCAACTGACCCTGACATAATTTTCTTAAAATCTATTACCTGGTGCCATTATCTGTGAAATGGGGCTGGCAGAAGAATCCTGTGCTCTACTCTGCTGAGAAGTAGGAGCTGTGTGGATCAGAAATCAAAGGAATTTAGAATTGACAAGGATCAATTTTTGCCTTTTTTGGACTGGAAAAGGGAGGCCAGCAAAGGCTAAGGGCGTGAGTGTGGGAAAGTCCTGCAGTGGTTAGTGGTGGACCCTGAACTGGAGCGCTCTTAGTTTCCTCTCCCCCCCTCTGCCCTGCGCCCTGTCACTTCCCTCGCTGAACAATGAGCTTTACGGGAAGCACAGCTCGACATCCAAGAAGCTTGAAAAAGTCTTTTGTCATTTCTCAGGTAAGACTGTTCCCTGGTATACTGTGAAGCCGCTTTGGGGACCTCACAAAATTGCCTTTCCTGTGCATTCGCACCTTTTCTGTGTGTTCTGGTGTTAGGACCCTGGCTAGGAAAGGAAAACCTCAGAGAAGTCTCCTGTGATTCCACTCCTCCTGGGGGCCCACAGCTTAGCCTGTGCTGCGCAACAGCCTGGCACCTTAACTCTGATTGCTGAGCACATTGTAGGGTTTTGTTTTTTTTTTTTTTTGAGACAGGGTCTGGTTATGCAGTTCAGGCTGTCCTTGAACTCACTTTTTAGCTCAGGCCAGCCTGTAACTTCTGGCAGTCCTCCTGCCTCAGCCTCCCAAGTGCTGGGATTATGGGTGTGTGCCCCCATGCCTGGCCACATTGCATTTTCGAAGTTTCTGGTTAAAATAGAGTACTTTTTTTTGGTACTGGGAATTGAACTCAGGACCTTCCCCTTGCCAGGCAGGTGCTTGTGCCGCTGAGCTATCTCCTTGGCTAGAATTCTTTTTTATGAGTAGGCCTGTGACACATAACTAGCACATGCATTGTGGAGAATTGGTACATGCACATACAGTGTAGCATCTTGAGTCTTTGTGTTTTCCCTTCATGCCCCTCCCTTGGAATACATGCATTTTGTACATAAGCCAGAAAACGTAATTTTTTTTTTTTTTTTGAGGCAGGGTCTCACTGTGCAGTTCAGGCTGGCCTGGAGCTCATTTTGTAGCCCAGGATGGGCTCGAACTCACAACGATCCTCCTGCCTCAGCCTCCCGAGTGCTGGGATTACAGGTGTGTGCCACTATGCCCAGCAAGAAAACGGAATTTTAAAGAAGAAAATAATCTTGTTTCAGTAGAATTTTCGCATTTATACTACAGATGGGGCACTTTAGTGAGTAACATAACTCTGTAAGAAAAGGTTATGTCCTTCCTGTTCTTTCATAAATTTGTAGCTATAGCATTTGGCTTCACTCCTAATTTTTAGTAATAATTTTAATGTTCTGCCTTTTCTGACATTTGTGTAAAAATTCTGTCAAGGAGACCTTTACACTTGGTGACAAACGCTGTAGGATAGAAGGATTTTTGTTAGCAAGATGGTTTCCTTTACCTCTGGGCTCACAGAAAAGACCTTTTAATTTTTGTCAAAACTGTTGCTATATTTAATTCTTAGACTATTACCTTTGTAACTAGTTGAAATATAGTTTTACCACATTTATTTATTTGTTTATTTGGTTTACTAATTTAAAGCTTCTAATATGAAGCGATAATATAGTTCCTTAGTTTTCTTTTTTCGGTCTCAAGTTTGTTATTGATTTTTATTGTCCCAGGGTACTGAATTATATCC